TAACATCCCTTCCCCAGCTGATTTTCTCTAAAGAGAAAAGGCTTTAGAAACAGGCCTGGATTTCAGTCATCCTTGAGGTGTTCCAGCCGTATAACCCTGGGTAAGTCGCTTTACCTCTCTGTGGCTCAATTTCTTCATCTACAATTAGCAGCCGACACCTATCAAAGGAGTACGTGTAATAAGCTGATTTGGTGCAATGTATGAAGGACCTACTATGTGTCAGGCATTGTCCATTATTACAGCTAGGCATCACGCATTTCAGTCACACCCCTACTTGTCACTCACCAACACATCCCAGCACAAAAGTGGGACGGACACATGACTGACAAAGGGGGTGGCCACTTCTGAGTTCTTGGCCTTTGTCTTAGTTAAGATGCAGGCCCATAGAACAGAGGCCCTGCTAATGTTTTTTGTTTGGGTTTTTGTTTTTTCTGGGTCTTGCTCTGTCACCCAAAGTATAGTGTAGTGGCATAACCGCGGCTCACTGCAGCCTCCACCTCCCAGGCTCAAGCAATCCTCCCACCCCAGCCTACCTAGTCACTGGGATTACAGGCACATGCCCCTATGCCCAGCTAATTTTGGTATGTTTTATACAGACAGGGTTTCTCCATGCTGCCAAGGCTGGTCTCAAACTCCTGGGCTCAAGTGATTCTGCCACCTCGGCCTCCCAAAGTGCTGGGATTATAAGGGTGAGCCACTGTGCCTGGCCTAATTGTCTTAAATACACAAGGGTTGATTCTGTCACATAAAAGAAACCAGAATAAGCCATTTAGGGCTGGCATGCCACTCCACAGTCTTCAGGGACCAAATTTCCCTCTTGCTGCTTGTTCTGCCTTCCTTAGTGGGCTGACTCATGGCCCAAGATGGCTGCTCAAGCTCTGGCCATCTTGTCTGAATTCCAGCCAGCAGGAAAGAGAATACAAGGGAAGAAGTGCATTTCTCCTCTTAAAGAGAATTCCAAGGAATACCACATAACACTACTGCTTCAATTCATGGGCCAAAACTACTCACAATGCTATTCCTAGCTGCAAGGAAGCCTGGGGTGTGTGCCCAGCTATAAATTTGGATCCTTGTGACTAAAGGAGAAACAGGAGAGTGAGTTGTAGCCAGTACTTTGTAGTCTGTGCCATAGCTTTCTTTCCAATTTGGGGACTTTTCCAGGGAAAATCCTCACAGCCAACCTCTAGTGACGCTACCCTGGTGTTCCGCTTTTTACAGTGGAGGCAACTGAGAGCCAGAGGGGTAGAGGACCCTGACCAAGGTGTCACGACTAGTGAGCAGCAGAGCCCTTCTGGGGTAGCCTAGCGCTGCAGGTATGGGCTGGGCACAGTGGCTCAGGCCTGTAATCCCTTTGGGAGGCTGAGGTAGCAGGATTGCTTGAGTCCAAGAGTTCGAGACCTGGGCAACATAGGAGACCCCATCACTACAGAAAATTTAAAACTTAGCCAGGCATGGTGGCATGCACGTGTAGTCCCAGCTACTTTGGAGGCTGAGGTGGGAGGATTATTAGAGCCCAGAAGGTCAAGGCTACAGTGGGCTATGATTGTACTACTACACTCCAGCCCGGATGAGAGAAAGATAATTCTCTCTCTCTCTCTCTCTTTTTTTGTTTTTGTTTTTCTTTTTCTTTTTCTTTTTTTCTCATGCTATTTTGACAAAAAGCCCATCCTTTAAAAAAAAAAAAAAAAAAAAAAGCTGCCGGTCACGGTGGCTCATACCTGTAATCCCAGCACTTTGGGAGGCTGAGGTCGCTGGGTCACTTGAGGCTAGGAGTTCGAGACCAGTCTGGCCAACATGGCAAAACCCCTTTTCCACTAAAGATACAAAAAGTTAGTGGCATGGTGGCACATGCCTATAATCCCAGCTACTCAGGAGGCTGAGGCAGGAGGATCACTTGAACCCTGGAGGTATAAATGGCAGTGAGCTGAGATCGTTCCTTGGCACTCCAGCCTGGGCAACAGAGTGAAGCCCTATCTCAAAAAAAAAAAAAAATTTCATGTAAAGAATGAGAGCTTCTATCCCACCTTTTTGCTTATCAGGAGATTCCTTCCTGCCCCCAGAGGATCCAGATTTTTTAGAGAAACATCCTTTGTCTTTATTTGCAAGGCTGAGACCCAGAAGTTTGGCTGGGGTCCCTGGGGAGGACTGGGCTCCACACACCCATCATTGGCCCTCTCTCACTGTCTCCTGCAGGTAAGTGGCCACCTGGACTATGCCAAGCAGATGGACGCCATCCTGAAGGCCGTGGGCATCCATACCAAGCCAGGCTGGGAAGAGAAGGGGCTCTCGCTGGCCCCAGGCTGCCTGCCCCCCGAGGAGCCTCACCAGTCAGCAGCCGCCCCTTCATCAGGCGAGACCACCCATGAGGTTGGGCAAACCCAGGGTCCCACATCCGGAGATGCCTTCAAATTGGCCATGTCCATGGACCCCAGCCAAGCCCAGGTGCCGGCGGGGCTGGACCAGTCTGAAGGGACCTCCCTTCCTGCTGCTGCCAGCCCTGAAAGCCCTAACATCTGCAGCCATGACATGGACCCCAACTCACTGGGCTGCCCCAATTGTGCCTGCAAGACCCAGGGCCCCAGCCCGGGGCTGGACTGACCCCCAGCGGGAGACCTGAGCTGTCTTCCCTGATCTACATATGCAGCTATCTCATACGCTCAGCTTCCTCCCAGGAGCTCTGGAGGTGCGGGGTTTCCATGGGCCTCTTTCCTAATTTGAAGGAATTGGAACTGAAAGGCAAAGGAAATGGAAGGAAGGGGAGTTTGGAGGAGAGAACATGCCCACCCTGGGGAAGCTGCCTGTCTCCAGAGGAGCCTCAGCAGGGAGCAGTCACCCCCTCATCAGAGACCTGCAGAGTCAGCCAAGCCCAAGTTAAGAGTCCCAGGACTGGAAACCAACTGTGGGCTTTCTATACTTGTCCCAGCTTTAGAGTCTGGCTGTCCATCGGGAGGTCCAGAGGGCTCTCTAGGGCCAAAGGCTCCCACGCCACCTCTCGCCTGGACTAAGTGAAACCAGGTGCATGCCGGCTCTTCTATCCACACTCCAGGGCTGCCCACCAGCTGACAGGCACCAGCAACTAGCAGCAACAGAGCAGGCACAGGTAAAAGTGGACAGCTCACTCCTGCTCTTAGGAGATCCAGTCAGATCTGCCCCATACAGCCACGCAGGCTGCGCACTGCACAACTCCAGGGACATTAGTCACACAGACACGATGTGTGTGGTCCCCCAACATGCACCATGGTAGCTCTGTGACAAAGCATGGTGAGTGCTTGCGGAATTGCATTCAGGATAGCTGTGAACCAGGCTTGGGGACAAGAATGAAGTTTACTGGGAAAGAATATCCTGTAGCAGGAACAGAGGGGATAACAACAGCAATAAATGATCATAATAAACTACCACTTCTTGAGCTTGTACCACATGCCAAGTGGCTACGTGTTATGAGGTCAGACTATTATTATCTTCGTTTTATATTTGGGGAAACTGAGGCTCAGAGAAATAAGGTAAACTGCTGAAGCCCGTACAGCTGGTCAGTGATGGAGCCAAGCCCCAAGCCACTGGGCCTGCATCCATGAGACCCTTCCTCTTTGTTCCTCTCATGGTCCCTGAATGACAAGGCCAGAGATAATGCGCCCCTATTGTGCAGATGGAGAAATCAAGGTCCAGGCAGAGGAAGTATGGACACTCTGGGGAAGGTGGGAGAAGGGCAGCAGGAATTAAGAGTCGTGGAACACTGGAGCCAGATCACTGCTCAGGTGTATGTGGATTCATTTGTTCATTCGACACACATTTGTGGCTTATGCCTGTAATCCCAGCACTTTGGGAGGCCAAAGTGGGAGGATCGCTTGAGACTGGGAATTGGAAATCAGCCTGGGCAACATAGTGAAACCTGGTCTCTACAAAAAAAATTAAAATAAAAAAAAGTAGCCACAGTCAACACTCAAGAGGCTGAGGCAGGAGGATTGCCTGAGCCCAGGAGTTCAAAGCTGCAGTGAGCTATGATTGTGCTGCAGCGCTCCAGCCTGGGTGACAGAGTGAGACTCAGACTCTTTTTTTTTTTTTCACACCTTTTTTCTTTTCCTTTCCTTTCCTTTCCTTTTTTGAAACAGAATCTCGCTCCGTCACCCAGACTGGAGTGCAGTTTTTTGGTTTTTTTTTTAGATGGATTCTTGTTACCCAGGCTGGAGTGCAAGGGCACAGTCTCAGCTCACTGCAACCACTGCCTCCCGGGTTCAAGCGATGCTCCTGCCTCAGCCTGCCAAGTAGCTGGGATTACAGACACCTGCCACCATGCCTGGATAATTTTTTGTAATTTTAGTAGAGATGGGGTTTCACTATGTTGACTAGGCTGGTCTTGAACTTCTGACCTCAGGTGATCCACCTTCCTCAGCCTCCCAAAGTGCCAGTATTACAGGTGTGAGCCACTGTGCCTGGTCAACTCTGACTCTTAAAACACAAATTTAGCTGGATGCGGTGGCTCAAGCCTGTAATCCCAGCACTTTGGGAGGCCGAGGCAGGTGGATCACGAGGTCAAGAGATCGAGACCAACCCGGTCAACATGGTGAAACCCCGTCTCTACTAAAAATACAAAAAAAAATTAACTGGGCATGGTGGTGCGTGCCTGTAATCTACTCGGGAGGCTGAGGCAGGCGAATTGCCTGAACCCAGGAGGCAGAGGCTGCGGTGAGCCGAGATCGCGCCATTGCACTCCAGCCTGGGTAACAAGAGTGAAACTCTGTCTTAAAAAAAAACACACACACACACACACAAATTTTAAAAACAAATGTTTATACAATCTTGTTAGTTTTAAACCAAACTGCTCATGTCACACATGGGAAATGGAGGCTCTGAAAGGGGAAAGATTTTGCTGGGGTCCCAAATCGAAGGGGCAGAATCTGGAGCAGAGCCTAGGACACCCACACCCAGGCCTTCTCCCACTACACCAGCTGCTTCTCAAGCCCCGAGTGGCTCCCCAGTTGAATCCAGTCCACACAACAGCCATGGCCTTCAGCTAGACTTTATTGAGAGTCCCCTTGGGCAGGTCTGGGGAACAGGGGAAGCCCCACAAGCACCGTGGCCCCTCTGTGGCCTGCGGCCAGGGCCAGAGTTGTGTCTCATCAGCACCATGGAGAGCGCCAGGCCAGCCATGGAGGACCCCCTGGGAGTTTGTGTTGGCAAAACTTGGGGAGGCAGAGCTGAAAAGGAACCTATGGCAGGTAAACTGTGGAGATCAAGAGTTCCCAAACTCCCTGCCCCCAGAAAACAAGGCCCCTGTGCCAGAGTCTACCTGCCTGCCTTGTGGCCCCCACCCCACACCAGGGACAGCTCTTCTTCGACTCTGCTCTGCTGACCCAAGTAGCCACCACTCCCATTTCTCTCGCTGACCCCAGGGAAGGCCAAGGGAGGTGGGGCGAGGGGCTGGGTTTATTCCCATCAGTTGTCCCCTTCTAGGTCCAAGGACCCCCCCCCCCCCCAGGATCAAGGAAAACCAGTCCCTGAGGCTGCAAAAGAAACTGCCACCTGCCCCTTTTGCCCCCAGGAGAGGTAAAGCAGCAGCTTGGGAGCTGGGAGGGTCCCTGAGAGATGGGGTCCCTACCCAGCAGACAAAACAGGGAGTTGGGAAACCAGAGTCAGGCTGTGGGAGCCTGGGCCGGAGCTGAAGAGGGGGAGGAAAATGGAAAAAGAAAAATGGGAACAAACAGCGCCCCCCTACCCCGACCCACAGCCAGAGAGGCCAGGGGCCTGGATAGCCAGGGGTCATAACAACAGAACGTACCACTTAACTGACCATGTACTGGGTGCTGGGCACACATTGTCTTAATTCTCAAGACAACCCTGCAAGGTAGACATCATGACTCTGTCTTACATATGGGATAACTGAGACTCGGAGAGGCGAAGTAACCTGTGTCAGGCCCCAGAGCAGAGGTGGCAGAGGCCCAAATAGATGCCTGCCTACCTCCCAGATGCAGCTGCTGCCACATATATCCCAGGGTGTGGGGACTGGCAGGTTCAAAAACTGTCCAGCAAATCATTCTCAGGGTTGAAGATTAAGCTAGACCATCTCCAACTGTAATGGGCACGTGATTCATCTGGGATCCTAGTAACATGCAGTTCTGACTCAGCAGGTCTGGGCAGGGGCAGAGATGTGCATTTTTCACAAACTCCCAAAAGGTGATGGCAATGCTGATTGTCCATAGACTATGCTGTGAGTAGCGAGGGGTTCAGCCTAGCACTAATCCCTGCCTGCAGGTGGGGGCATTCCTTCCCATCCAGCCTGACAGAATGGGCAAAGGGCATGATTGTTTTCATCTTACCCTGAACCAAGAGGTCCTTCTCCCTAACATCCAGAGTCCCCCAGCGCATCCTCCACACACACGTTTCACCCAAGAGTGGATCATCTTTCAGAACACAGTATGAGTCAGCTCTGATCCCTGAATGTGCGGGGCCTGGAGTGGGCCCCAAGGGCTGGCTCGGTGCACCCCCTGCTGGAGCTCAGAAGGCTCCTAGGAAACCTGCAGCCTCCTGGTCTTAACCAAGAGCTGGCCCAAGGCCTCGGAGTCTGGGTTCTGCTCAATCCAGCTCCCCACTGGCCAGTCCCAAGCCCGGGTCAGTTCGTGGGGGTGCCGAGTGGATGCAGCCGCAGCTCGGGCTCCACAGGGTTGATGTTGAAGAAGTTGTTGGCAGCAGTGGTCCTGGTGGGCAGCAGGGCGTCCCGGGTGGCTTCACCAGGAAGCAGTAGCTGGGCTGTGAGCTGCAGGCCTGAGGAGCCACCTGAGCCTGCATCTGAGTCTGAGTCTGAGTCAGGCGGCAGGGGCAGCGGCAGCACCTGCTGTAGGCTCAGGCCGGGCCGGGGGCCACTGTGAGAGGTGCGCAGTGACGGTGAGGCCAGGCTGGCCTGGCGCTCCCGGGGACAGCGTGGACACGGCAGGAACCTGCCCAGTGCCCGCTTGAAGTCCCGCATGAAGAGAGGGTAGATGATGGGGTTCATGGTGCTGTTACAGTAACCCAGCCACGTGAGGACATCGAAGAGGCCTGGAGAGATGCAGTCGCACACGGCCTGAGGGGATGGGATGTGTCATGCCTGGTCCCAGGGCAGGGACCCAGGCCTCCCTTCCCAGCACGGATGGAGCAGACACACGCACGCACCACAAGAGCAGCCTGCCCTCTCCTGCCCTCTTGCCGGGCTGGGACCCAGGGCCTCTTCTACAAGGGCTGGACTCACCTGCCCCTTGCTGTGACATTACCTGGACTATGTTGGCCACAAAGAAGGGCAGCCAGGTCACAAAGAACATGCCCAGCAGGATGCCCAGCGTCAGGCTGGCCTTCAGGGCCTTCCTGCTGTGTTTGGTGGCCAGGCGCCTGCTGTCAGCCGACTCCACCCCTGGGCGTGGGGTCCTGGGCACCTGTGGAAAGTAAGTCCACATGAGTCAGTTGAGAAAGAGCCCCCATCTGACCCTGATCCTAGCCACAAACTGAGCTTCAACCTTAATTCTAGACTGAGCCTAGTACCAGGATTAAACTGAGCCCTGTTCCTTGACTGAACCCCAACTAGAGTCCTAAACTGAGCTCTGAGCCTGACTTCAGGCCAAGCCCTGACATCAGCAATAAACTAAGCCCTGATCTTGGTCCCCCACTGAACCCTGACACCTATCATAGGCCCTATAATAACCAAGTTCTCAAACCAAACCTTAACCTTGGACCTAAACTGAGCCCTGATCCTGGTTTCACACTCCCTGACTCTGACCCAGAATTTCATAAGGAGCTCTAGGAAGTACAGTGAGACAGAACAACACTACCTGAAACACAAATCAGATGGTTCAGAAGAACAGCCATCCCTGCAAAGACAATACGTGACACAGACCAACACACACATTACAATGAGCCCAACACCTTCCAAAGCCTTTGGCACTATAGAAATCAATTGCAGATGGCCAGATGCAGTGGCTCATGCCTGTAATCTCCGCGCTTTGGGAGGCTAAGGCAGGCGGATCACTTAAGGTCAGGAGTTCGAGCCTGGCCAACACAGTAAAACCTTGCCTCTACTAAAAATACAAAAATTAGCAAGGCGTGGTGGCAGGCATTTGTAATCCCAGCTATTCAGGAGGCTGAGGCAGGAGAATTGCTTGAACCCAGGAGGTCGAGGTTGCAGTGAGCCGAAATCACTGCACTCCAAGTCTGGGGAACAGAGTAAGACTCCGTCATGAAAAAAATAAAAGGAAAAAGAAAGAAATCAATTGCAGTTGAACAAGACGACCTGTTACTGTCCAGAGCTTGGCAATTGCTTTATATGTGGATGCTCTTCATATTTGGGAGCAATGGGCAATTACTCTTGAGCCCCACAAAATAGAAAGGCTTTTTTGAGAATGTGTGCACAAAACAAATGTTTGCAACTAAATATAGATTCCTAAGGATGCTGGTGACCTTGGCATTTTACAACTCAATGATACTGCGAACTGGCAGGCAACTCCACTCTCAAAAGTGAACAGGAAGAGGAGAGGGTAGGAGGCAGGAGGAGATAGAAGCTACTTCCCAGCAGCCACTGAAAGAAAGACATGGGCACAGGGAGGTTAGAATTTGACTTTGCAAACTGGTCCCCACAATCCCAAATAATGAAAGGGCTCTCTGAGCTGGATAATTCTTTCACCCAGTGGTGCTCGTAACTTTTTAAACTTCATGGGCCCTTTGAAATGCTAACGAAATCTAAAAAACAAAACAAAACAAAACAACTTTCCCCAGAAAATAAAAGGCTTATAAATTTTTATACACACACACAGACATGAAAACAACATTCCACACTTCCAGAAGGTTCAGAAATGACCTTGAAGTCTCTAGGTTTCCACCATGAAATCCCTAGGAATCCGTGAAGGCTGGGATGTGAAGCCCTCCTCTAAACCATGTGTTTTTGTAATCAATGTGGGTTTTCATTTTAGATTTACACAAAATCAGGTCCACTTCTATTTACTATTTAATACCCATGTGCAGCGGTGTGCACAATTCATCATGAGCTACGCAAAGGGTATGTGTGCTGTCTGGGAACACATCTGGGCTTTTACAGCCAGGGATTTTCCCGGCACTGGGATTTGCCCAGTTCCTAAATTGTATGAGAGCCCTGCTGAGTGAGGCCAGAGGTGGGTTGGGTGTAGGGAGATGAGAAGGTCGGAAGGAGGCAGGAGCGGAGCCAGATTCCCAGGCAACCTTCTGCAGATGGAAAGGCGGAGGAAGCAAAGCCAAGATGTGGCAACTCCAGGGAGCACCAAAGCCAGCACCCCACCTCACTCTGCTGTGCATGCCCTCTCCTTCCAGCCCCTCCTCTTCCCAGGCCTCCAGAGTTGGTGTCTTGTCCATGGTGCTGAAACCCCAACTACATGCTGTCTTCATAGGAAATGGAATTCTAATTCTAAAATAGCAAGGAGGTCGCTGGGGCTGGGAGATGAAGCACACTGTAACCCCCACCCCTCCATGTGTTTATTCACATGAAATATGGTGATACAAATTTATAACAAAGGCCTTGATTTCTCCCTTCTGTCTTGGTGAGACAGCGTTGTACAGAGGCAAAAGCTGGGCTTTTAAGACAGGTGATCTGGCTTCAAATCATGCCTCTACCACTTACTCGCTCTGTGATCTTGAGAGAGCCTCTGTTTCCACATCTGTAAAATGGGAGAAATGATACTCAGCTTACGGCGTTGCTGTGAGGCTATGGATAATAAATGCATGCACAGTGTCTGAGGTTGAGTAGGCGTTAAATACCTGGTAGCCATGATACTGGTTCAGTGATATGTGTTGTGAGGTTGGGGTGATTTTGAGCACAGTTGGGGGCCCTGTCCTTCTGCCAGCAGCTCTGGCCTCCCCAAAGCAGCACAGATGCCAAGACAAATGTTCTGACTCACCACGCTGCAGCTCAGATGCTAAGACTAGAGGATGCTGTCCTCTGCCTCCACCCCGTCATACACAAGTCTTCCTCAAAGTTATTCCAAGTTAGCGAGGCATTAAAAGAAGATTTTACTCTTCTCTCTCCTCTTCTAGTTTTCTCTCCTCCAGAGCGAACTTTATATGGCTTTTGTGACTACACCATCGTCAACCTGGAGGAAGAGGCTCCCGCTTCCCCAAAAGAATCTCCTAAGACCTGCCACACCTTCAAGTTGCTGCCATCAGTGGGAATAGACATCATGGAGAGGGAGGAGACACTGTCTCATCCAGGCGTCGCTCTGACCCTAGTGACCTGGGGAGAGCAGGGGACAGGAGGCAGCCCTGATCTTATCAGAGCTCTAGGACATGGGGAAACTGAGGCACTGGGGGGATAGCTCAGGTCAGTCACTGGGGGAAGGAGCTCCAGAGAAGGGGGTGAAGATGAACTGAGATTAACTCTCTAGTCTCCCTGGAAACAGCTCTGGGTTTTTCTTTCTCCTGCTTTCCAGAGAGTTGACTCAAGAACACAGGCAAGAGAAAAGGGAGAAGGAAACCGAGGCTCAGAATGGGTAGAGGACACACTACCCTTCCCAAGGTCACACTGTGCCAGTACAAGGCTCCCAACCAAAACCCGAGTGGCCCCAAATCAATGTTATCATCCCCATTTCTCTAGCACTTATTACACATCAGCATTTGATATTCATTAGCTCATTCCATCTTTATGAGAGGTAGGCATTGTCGTCCTCATCTTGCCAGTGAGACAACCGAGGCTCGGAGAGGCAAAATGACTTTCCAGAAGTCACACAGCAGATAAGAGCTGAGTTGGGGATTCCGTCATTTCTGGCCCCAGGAACTCCACTCTGCCCACTTCACCATGCTGCTTCCACATTTGGAGATGGCATCCATGGGCCCAGTCAGGGTGGGGTTAGAGAAACCCCACCGCTGTCACCAAGAGGCCCTCATGGAGCAGAAGCCAATGGCAACCGCCGGTCCACACCCAGTGATCTGGCTGATGCTGGCGTCGCCCTTCCGATTCTCTCTCCCCTGTAACCCCTCCCAGCCCCACGGGGCCAGGTCGTCGTTTGCATCTCCCTTCTGTGTCAGTGTCAGAGGGCAGCTGAAGGACAATACAGTGCCCTTCCAGCCAGCAATCCCACAGACAGCTTCCAGCCAACACCTACGTTCATGTCTCCTCTCTTGATCCAAGAATGTGTCCCACAGCACTACTCATGAGGGGAAAAAAATTGAAAACAGCCTAAATGTCCATCAAACGAAGAGGGGTTTAGGCTGGGCACAGTGGCTCACCCCTGTAACCCCAGCACTTTGAGAGGCCAAGGTGGGTAGATCACTTGAAGTCAGTAGTTCGAGACCAGCCTGGCCAACATGGTGAAACTCTATCTCTACTAAAAATACAAAAATTAGCCAGGCGTGTTGGCGAAAAACAAAAAGAGAGTGTTTTAAATAAACCACAGTGACTTCCCACCACAGAATACTACACTGATGTTTTAAAAGAAAGAATCGGTCAAATGAAAAGATCTCCATGATTATTAAATTATAATAGCAGGTTGCACAGTAATAGATACAGAATGATTCCACTTGTTTGAAAAGCAATATGCAACAGAAAGCACTAAGGCTTTTTAGGGACCTGTATAAATACATAAGCCCACAGAAAAAGAGGGCCCAGAAGGGCCAGGTGCAGAGGCTCACACCTATAGTCCTAGCACTTTGGGAGGCTAAGGCAGGTGGATTGCTTGAGTCCAGGAGTTCAAGACCAGCCTAGGCAACGTGGTGAAACCCCATCTCTACAAAGCTACAAAAATTAGCCAGGCATGGTGGTGCACGCCTGTAGTCCCAGCTGTTCAGGAGGCTGAGATGGGAGAATCAACTGAGTCAGAAGAGGTCAAGGCTGCAGTGAGCCGTGGTTGTACCACTGCACTCCAGCCTGGGTGACAGAGTGACACCCTGTCCTAACAGGAAAACCAAAAAAGACCTAGAAGGATATATCCTAAATTGATGCATGTCTCTGGAAGTGAAAGGTGATTGGCTAGAATTTGGGGGTATTTTCCTTCATCTATGTGATTGAATTTTTAAAGTGCATTTATATATTCCTTTAGGCAATTCATTTTTTTACCATCATCTGATCATAGTGGGAGAGTTACAAGACACTCTGGAGGCTGACTGCCTGGTTTCACACCTTGGCTCTGTTACAAACTAGCTGAGTTACTTCACCTGTCTATGCCTCAACTTTCTCTCCTGTAAAATGGCATTATAACAGCATCTGCCTCATGGGATTATACTAAGGATTAAATAAAATAATATACGGAAAGTTAGAACAGTCCTGGCGCATAGGAAGCACCATAGACGTGTTAGCTATCATTGTTGCTGTTTATCATTATTCTCTGGCTCAGCTGTTTGATAATGATGGTGATGGTGCCGCTGACAGCAGTGATTTTTCTTCTCTAGAAAGGGTCAAAGGGGTGAGCTCCCCAGAAGCATG